TTGCTCAGTGCTCCACTGTATCCAGACTCTTCTGCAGGGCCTCTTATCTCTCCAGAGAGTCAGCAGCACCTTCCAGTTCAGTATCATCAGCAAACTAGCTGTGGATGTGCTTCACTCCTGCCTCCCAGTCACTGATAAAAAACGCTGAACAGAACTGGCCCAAGAATTGAGCGCTGGGGAACTCTGCTAGTGAAGCAGCTGCCAGCCAGATGTAGCCCTTTCACTGCAACAAACCATTGAGCTTTGCATTTAACACACAATATAGCATGGATTTGTTCATCTCACAGCAGGGCAACTTGTCCATGCTGGAAGGTACAGCATCAAAGGCAATATTATAATCCACAAAGAGACCATCCACCATCTTCCCTTTACCTACCAAGTGGCTGACCTTATCATAAGTGGTCAAATTACTAAGGCAGGACTTTCCTTTGATGAACCATGTCCACTATGCCTAATAATATATTTTTCATTCTGGTCTACAAATCCTATGTCATTATTGTAAGCTCTACTTTAGCTCTGTAAGCTAAGGAGCAACTGTTAGAGCAACTTTCTCTTAATAATCCCATAACCATTATAACAAAAATGGTAATATTAAAGTAATTTGGAATTTAAATGAGCTCACATTGTCCAAAAGTCATTTTTTACAGCTAGACGTTTCCCTTTTTTTCTCAACGCACCTAGAAAACAAAGTTGATGTTATTTGATTATCTGTAAATGTAGCCATTCTGCATAAAATCAAAGCTTATTTAGAATTACTTGAAAACATGCTGTAGTTGTTTAAGGTTATAATAATTAGTGAAGCTTTTAACTTTGGTGTTAATTAACACTGTTAATGATTAAATCACTCTAGTAGAAAAGTAGAAGAGAATAGTTATGATTCTGCCACTGAAAGGGAGATATGTGATCCTTGCTGTATTTGACATTTAGTGGACCTCATTGCTATATACTGGACTTGATTTACACTAGTGGAGCACTGAAGCATTACTTGAAATGAAATGTTTTATGTTATGTTTTAGGTCACTTCCATTGTGTCATACCATCATAAATGGGCCTTCATAAAACAGTCCAAGCAAGCTATATTTCAGAAGCCCAAATGTCGTCATCTCTTACTGGAAAGAAAGTCACTGTTGTGGTTTCTGTCAGAAAGACTTCTCTGCAGAATTGGGCTGAAGGTATTATTGGATCTCATGGAACAAAAAAAAAAACATAGCTCTACTGGCATTTTGATGATCTCACTGGGATGGAAGACAGAGTGTGCCAGTAGTATACATATTCAGTCTAGAGCAATTCCAATAATTACAGTTTTTGCTCTTATTTTTAACCAATGTAAGTTGAATGTACTGTGAACTTATTCTGATAAAAAAACAAGATTCTTTGTTAGAAAGCTGGAACAAGACTTTTTTTTAACCTTGTTAAAAACCTTGTGAATCACAATGGCTTTTTAAACAATCTTTAATGGAGTTCTATAGCTGGCCTTATATATAGTTTACTTTCAAAACACATGCAACATCAAAGTAATTGAATGGAACTTCATGGGGAACACTCTTCCCCTTTAATTTAAGAAAGCATTGTATTGTGTCTCTCTTTGACTGGAAGCACAATGACTACAGATGAGGATGTCTAAAGTCTATAGCTGTCATAAAAGAAAAGACTCTTCCTAATCTCACTTTTCTTGCTGCCTCAGAATCACGAGTTCTCCATTTTCTCCTTTTCCAGATAACATGTTATTCTAAATTATTTCAACTGAAATTGAATTATATTTCTTAGATTCCTTCTTGGTATTGCCCTAAATTTTAATCACCTGTAAGAAAAGTAGCTTCTATATGATGATAGAGACAATGCCATTTCATTTTTTCAAGTTTTGTTTAGTTTTGTTCAACATCTTCATCAATGATTTAGATGAATGTATAGAATGCATTGTCAGCAAGTGATGATAATACAAACCTGAGAGGGGTGGCTGATACACCAGAAGACTATGCTGCCATTCAGCGAGACCTGGACAGGCTGGAGAGTTTAGTAGAGAGGAGCCTGATGAGGTTCAACAAAGGCAAGTGTAGAGTCCTGCACCTGGGGGGCAATAACCACATGCAGCAGCACAGGTTACGTGCTGACCTGTTAGAAACAAGCTCTGCAGATAAGGACATAGGCATGCTGGTGGACAGCAGGTTGACCATGAACCAGTAATGTGCCCTTGGGTCCAAGAAGGCCAGTGGTATTCTGGGGTGCATTAGAAAGGAGCATGCATGACCAACGGGTCAAGGGAGGTTCTCCTTCCCCTCTACTCTGCCCTGAGTGAGACCACATCTGGAGTACTCTGTCTAGCTGTGGACTCCCCAGTTCAATAAAGACAAGAAACTTTGAGAGACAGTATAGTGGAGGGCCACAAAGATGATTAGAGTCTGGGAGCATATGTCTCATGATAAAAGGCCCTGGGACTGCTCAGCCTGGAGAAGAGGAAACCAAGGGGAATCTTATCCATGCTTATAAATATCATAGAATCATAGATTCATACAATGGCTTGGTTTGGAAGGGGACCTTGAGAAACAGCAAGCTCCTACACTCTGACATGGGTGATTGCCTCCCACTAGATCTGCCCAGGGTCCCATCCAACCTGGCCTTGAATGCCTCCAGGGATGGGGTATCCACAGCTTCTCTGGGTAATCTGTTCCAGTACCTCACTACCCTCTGAGTAAAGAACTTCTTTCTAACATCTAACCTATTTTTTTTAATTTTTCTAGTTTAAAGCTGTTCCCCCTTGTCCTATCACTATTAGACCATGTAATAGTCACTCTTTTTCCTGTTTATAAGCTCCCTTCAAGTAGTGGAAGGCTGCAGTGAGTTCTCCCAGGAGCCTTCTCTTCCCCAAGATCAATTCCCTCAGCCTTTCTTCATGGGAGAAGGGCTACATTTCCTTGATTAAATATCTAATGGATGGGAATCAAATGGATTGGCCAAGCTTTTTACAGTGGTGCCCAGAAATAGAAAAGGGGCAATAGACACAAACTAGATTATAGGAAGTTCCACATGAGGTAAAAGATTCTTTACTTTGAGGACTACAAAGCACTGAAACTGGTTGCCCAGAGAAGTTGAGGAGTCTCCTCTCGAGATATTCAGAACCTACCTGGACACTTCTCTGTGTAAAATACTGTAGGGAACTTGCTTTAGCAGGGTTTGGATTCAGTGATCTCCAAAGGTCACTTCCAACCCCTATAATTCTGTGATTCAGTGATTCTAACATTGCTGCCTGCTATCAGATTCTAAGTGACAGTAATAAAAAAAGCCAGATTTAAGTGCAGGGCATTCAGTGCAAATTACTTTGTACCACTGTCTCTTTCTGTTCATATGAGGAATTTCCTAGGTGCCAGCACTAATTTCCTGATCCTATTTGTTTCCCCTTCTCAGAGGTGAAGGAATTTTCTGGGATGATGGCCTGCATAGGCTTCACGTGCTCCCATGTGTATCTGATGTCTCTGAACCAAACCCAGAACTCTTGATACTGTTAGCTAAAAATGAGGTGGAGAATAGGGCAATGTAATGTGTCAAATTCCTTCTTCTTCAGTCTTTGTTGAGAAATGGCCTAAAACTAAAATGGCAACTTCAGCTACACAAACCCCTCAAGAATCTCAAAGAAGATTTAACTTTCAACTTCTCTCTGATCTCCCCTGTGCTTTCATTTAGCTACAAGGGTCAAAAAATAAATCTCAAATAGCCTTCAAGACTCCCCACTTGGTGGAGAAAACTATAATAAATACATTTAATTTTACTTCCTCTTTCTGAAAGAAGAGAGTGATAACAAATTTTTCTAGTGTCTGCAGAGAAGCTGCTAAAAAACACCCACCAAACCAAAACAAAAATACTTTAGCTATTAGCATATGGTATTTATAAAACACTTAAAGTCCAGATATCCAGGCACTGAGGTGGATTATTAGACAGATGCTGCTTAAAAATCTCTTGAATGGCGCTAATGCCTCATTGAAAGAACTGCTCTAATGCTAAGTCTTCTAAGCTGCTTCAGGAATCTTACTACCTAACTTTTCAGTTTCTGGAGGATTCTTAAAATGTATTCAAAGCATCAATTCTAAATGCTAAACAGATTTTTATTTTAGATGAGTTCTTCTCCCTTTAGAGCCTTTCTCATATTGGTTTTCTTTAAATTTCTTGTAATTAGATTAAATCATACCCCCCTTACTGAAAACTCCTCTTAATGCAAAAGGAAAGCCTTCTGAATGCTCAGGCTGTGTGAAGCAAAACTGCATAAAAACTGCGAACATAGTTGGCTGTGCCATGTAAAATAATTCCTTTCTAATTCTGTTTAAGCTGTTCTCTTACTTGAACAGACTTGTTCCGCTCCCTGCTCCAGCACAGGGAATAAAATCACTACAAAAGCGAAGTCGCACTCACTTCCAGGAAGAGCCCTTTCTGAAGACTGCATATCCCTTCTATATCCTGTCTGCTTCAGAGATGTTTCCTACCTACAGAGATCTCTCTCTCTTCTGTAAAATATAAACTCTGGATCACCACATTTAACTCCAAAACCGTCATTGCACCAAATTATTTTTGTCTTTGTTTAATTAAAGGGAAATTTCTTCTTCTATTTATCCTAAAATCTGACTGGAGGAAAACCATAAGAACACTGGTGTGGTCTTTAGCATATGCTGCAGTTGTCTGTGATTTTTTACATACAATCACTTCGTCCTTGTGCTTTCTGTCTGTGAGCATTCCAGGATCTCATTCTATCTTAATAATTAAGGAAAAAAAGAAAAGTATGTTAGTTATTACTAGTCTTTGTCTTTCTCTGTTGTTATGCAGTTGATGCCTACTGCTGTAGTCAGACTGCATCTGAAAGTACCCAACTGTAGCAGAAATGCTAAGTCACGGCTTGAACCAGTGATTGAGCACCTGGTGGGAAGGCAAGACCAAACTAGGGGAGCTCAGGTGCATGTAATGTATCTGAGTGACCAGAAGTAGTGGAGCCAGGATCCACCCCTTCCAGACCTCATTTAAAGGCTGGTAGTGGAAGTGAGCATATCTCCTTGGTGATTCCTGCAGATTTGTGGTCCTCTAAGAGTGAGTAGCTTTTTTCCTCTCTTTGTTTTGGTGTCTGTGGCTGCTGAATTTGTGCATTTTCTCATTTGCTGTGGCTTAGGGCTTTGCTACCCTGCTATCAGTGTTGTGCTTTTCTTTGTATTATAGTGTTACACCAATGCAGAAAGGACAGACTGTATTTTTCTTAGTTGTCTGTTAGGATTATTTTTTTCATCAAGGATAAATAAGGCTTTTGTCATACTACTACATGTACATCTTTTATGTGATGTGTACAGTTGCTTGATTCCTGTGTTGACTAAAATATTCAACTTTATTGAGTAAACAGATAGTGCCTCCCTTATGTACTTGCACAGTAGCATACTGTAACAGATCTCTTGGTCTTGGTGTTAGGTACAATCTAACTTCAAGAGTATAGGTAGTCCTGCCAAAGTCACCTATTATACAGAACAGCAATAATTGTTAGGTGTAGCGATGCCGAGTGTTTCTGTAAGTTATATTTTACTCACTTTGCAGAATACAGGTCAACACTGTTTAAATACTGATACAGTTTAGGGAATGATTGTATGAATTTGCTAGAAGATATTGCTCTCAAAATTGTTTTCTTTAAATGAAGCACCATTCTACTACTCTTTGACTACAATCACCCCCCATTTTAGTCCATAAGTAGAGAATCAAAATAGTTTAACTACTTCATTTCAAAGCCAGTTAATTCCTGAATTTAAGCAAGTGACTCAATGTCATCTTAAGAGTTCTTTACATGTTGCCCACCAGTCTAGTTCAAGTTCTGCTACCAGTTTATTACTATATAGCATCCCCCCAGCAGTTCTTACAAGCTTTGTGTACATAGTTCCCCAGAAATGTGGCAAGCTCAAGTTTTTACACTTTTGCTGCAAAACCATAAGCAGGAAAAGCTCCTGAAATACAGTGTGAAACCTGTACTGTAGTAAGAAGCATAGTACTTACCCCTATTCCTTTCTGTAATATAATGTTGGACATGCATGGATAACAAGGATAAACTTGTTAGTATCTAGAACAGAATTTGTATTGCATCATATGTTTTTCGAGAGCTGTGTTATTTCCCAACATGAGCTGCACACTCCAAAATTGCTTCTTACACTTTTGAAATATCTGGTTGTGAACAACTTTGACTACAGTGCTTAGCATATTTCTTTTACAATCTGGAGCATCTCTCCCTTATTTTTATGGCTTATAATCTCTTGATCGTGGTGGCTGAATTGCTTTCCTCACTTGTAAATAAGGCATAAGGAATGGAGTATAATACATTTAAGGGCAGGGAGAGTTCAGCTTATAAGTCAGTGTTTGTAAAAATGCTTTGATGTTAAGCAGGAATATTACTGCAAGTGATGTATTTCACATGGCTTGTTTACAGAGCAGTATGCTTTCTGCACAACCATACTGGAGTCCACATTCACTTTGTATCATCAGTACACTGCCTAAAAAGTGATTTAAAAGATTTGTAGCCTTTATGTTTGCCAGTTGTCTCTTATCCTCAGTAGAAAGATTTCCTTCTTGGGTCATTGCTTCTGTGTAATTGCTATGTGAAAGCATTTAAAATCCTTTATCTTCTAACTTAGGAAAATATTTGAAGGAATTAAAGCATTCGAATGACAGTTGGTGAATCAATAGCAGAGATGTGAAGCTGTGATGTAGAGGAGGTGGAGTTCCTTTGATTTTTCTCCTTACTCTTTTATTACCTTGTGGCATATCCTTGAGTATACAAGCAGCAAAAAAGTTCTGTGCATAAGGAGAGTACATAACGAGAGAGCATCATAAATGCCTTCTACTTGGACATGCGTTTTTCAGTCTAAACTTGTAGTAAATCAGGATTGTGGCACACAAGTAGATCAAGGAATAATCCCTGTATGTTTTTACTGAAGGTAAAAATCTGTGCATGGAAAAAAATTATTTTCTAACTTTAGAGAAAATACTGAATTGGCCATGGAAACTGAAAAATGCTTCCTATTTCCTAGGGACGTTGGCCAGGAAGAGCATAAAATCAAGATTATGTAGGGAAATCTCTTACTAGCAAGGCAATACAGGCACCTTCAAACATCTGTGCTCTCCAGCTGGCAGTGTTAGAAGTATCTATTGCCAAATGGAGTGCAGCTTGTTTAAAAAAAAAAAAAAAAAAATTGTAGTAGCTGTTATCTAACTCATTTGTGGAGTAATGAACTTTCACAGAAGTACTAAGTAGAAAGGCAATAGTGAATATCCAGATATAATACTGCCCTCCCTAGAATGCATTGTTGCTACATTTTAATTTTGTATGACTCATTGAAGTTGATGAAGTATTCTGATACCTCTCATTCTGACTGAGTCTAACATTTTTTCCAGAACAAAATTAGAAGTTTATTGCAGGGTAGCTCATAATGCTTCCTTGCTATTGAGAGCAAGGCAAAGAATTTGTTCAGCTGGAAAGAAACTTCTTAGCACAATGCAGTTAAGATTTTTCTCTGATTTCCACTGCAGCACCCTTTTTCCTCCACTGCTTTAATGCATGTGTGCAGAAAAACATCATTCACAACAGTTCATTAAGTTTTGATTTTTTTTCCATCCTTTATTTTTCAATTTGGATTAATACCCCACTTCTAGGAAGTTGGATTTTGCTCATTAAAGATTTTTGCTGTGAAATTTGACTTTTTCCAATTAACTTCTTTTACCTTATTGGGAGGTTCAGCGTGGAATAGTGTTGTGCTCAAAGAAGGGGGGGCGTGGGGGGAGAATGAAACAGCAAATCCTGTAGTTAATTCATTAAAGCATTGAATATTATATTGTAGATAACTTAGATAGGAATTTAAAAGGCTTGTTAATAATGGATAACCAAGACCTGTACTACTTGTGTCCAATACGGAAAGTACAAGTAAGAAAATATCAGTAAGGAATTATGTTGACACTGTAAAATTTTACCAGTTGCAAAATGACTTTTTTTTTTAATCTTTTATGCTCTTAACACTCTTTTGGAATTGTTTCTGCTTTTGCCATCCTGAATGGCTGTGTAGAAAGTTCTAACTTGAGGATATTTGCAATACTTAATTGGAAAAAGCAGTAGCAGCTTCATGTTTCTTCCATACTCTTCACAGAATCACAGAACTGTAGGGGTTGGAAGGGACCTCCAGAGATCATCGTGTCCAACCCCCCTGCCAAAGCAGGTTCCCTACAGCAGGTCGCACAGGTAGGCATCCAGGCAGGTCTTGAACATCTCCAGAGAAGGAGACTCCACCACCTCCCTGGGCAGCCTGTTCCAGTGCTCCGTCACCTCACTGTAAAGAAGTTCTTGCGCACATTTGTGCAGAACTTCCTATGCTGCAGTTTCTGGCTGTTTCCCCTTGTCCTGTCTCCACGCACTGCTGAAAACAGTCTGGCCTCGCCATTCTGCCCCCCACACCTTAGATATTTATAGACCTGGATCAGGTCCCCTCTCAGTCTCCTTTTCTCAAGGCTGAACAGACCCAGATCACTCAGCCTTTCCTCATAGCAGAGATGCTCCAGGCCCTTCACCATCTTCGTACTCTTCATACTCTCGCTTTACTATTAAATACTACTCTTTAAATAAGCATTTCAATGTAATATGAGAAATTCTGGAAAACATTTTTATTTCTCAAGAAGTAGAAGAACCTACTATGTTAAGTAAAGCTTTTTTTTTTTTTTTTTAAACTATGGACCATTTCTACTGAATGGATGAGTGCAATGTACTTCTTGGGTATGAAGAACTCAGGAGGGTTCAAGGAAATCAGTTGTCTCTCCTTCTGGATACTACTTCCAGCTCTATGTAGGGAATAAAACAAAAATGATAATTGGATATCTCAGGACTTCCAGATAGAAGAGCAGTTCTACAGCTTTCTCAGTGGAGGGGCAGATTGAGCTTTGGTGGGATGGAAATGGGAAGGGAGTTCTAGCAAATAATAATGTGATTTTTATTAATCCAGAAACAAGCTTTAAACTGCATCTTCCAGAAACCTAGTGAGAAATGTTTAGAATAGAAAAAAAAAAAATGCTGGGGGAAGAATAAAGGGAAATGTTCATTAATGTCTCTGCCTCGTAGCTTACAGCTTATACATTTTGCTAAACTAATAGAGTCCATCTGCTGAAGAAGCTTGAATTGATTTCTCAGGGCAGAGTACTGATCTTGTAACACCACAGAATAACTCAGTGAGGAGACCTTGAAATCTCTGGTCCTAACTTCTGCTCAAAACAAGGTCGCCTCTGAGGCCAGAATTATCTGGGGGCTTTATCCAGTCAGATCCTAAAAGCCTCCACAAGAAAGAAGACTCCACAATCTACATTCTGCATGAATAATATTTACTGGGACAGAGAGTGAATGCTGAGTGACTCTAATTTGTTCTAATGCTGGATAATACCGGCACTTGCTGTACAAAGCAAAAGAGGTTTGGCAAGAAGACCTAAGATAGAGTATTAGTCTGCAGGAGAAAGATGTACACTCACATCCTAGTCCTAAATGAGTAAGAGTAAATACAAGTACCAGGCAGAAGTGTGCTTCCTACAGCGTTTCCACTGAGTGTAAGCAACTGCTACCGCTTCTTTGGTTCTTGAAAGTGCTCACAGGCGTCTGTCTAAATGTGCCACTGTGCTGCATGAAAACACTTCTGCTGCTGCCCTGGAAAAATATAAGACTTCAGTGCTGCAGCAAAATGAATCTCAGACAAATTAATTGTATCTGGCAGGTAGGAAATTGCAAATAAACCGTAGTAGGCGGGAGAAATGAACGTAAAGCCTTTTGCAAGGCAAGTTGCCTCCAGGAGATCTGACTGCTGAGGGCAGGAGGAGGCACAGCAGTGCTGGCAAGCAGCTGAGCAGCAGTCAGGCTCACTGGCTTTGTGCAGTAACTCCAAGATGATGCCTTTATGCCTGTCTCATGCTCCTCACACTGAAGTCCCATTCTCTGAAGTCACCTACAGCCTTGAGCCCAGCTGCCGGTCTTGATTTGCCACTGTTATCTTCCTACTGCTAAAATACCTGCACACTCAGAGTTGTTACATGCTTGCAGAGGATGTTGCTCTGGTGCTTTAGAATGTGATTTACTGATCAAGCAAGTGAGGGTCAACAATACAAATGAAGCAATCCCAAAAGGAAGATAGAGAAGAATGTAATGTATGAGCATGATCGCACAGCTGAGATATCAGAGGTGGTTCACTTGATTTGATTCCTGCTTTTTTGTTTTCTAGTAGGTTTCTGTGACAAGCAAACACTTCCAGAACCATTTCATCTCTTGCTGCTGCCCTCCATGACACCTAAAAAGCTAGAGAGATGTCCTATTGGCATTACTGTTTGAATTTACTAGTCAATAATAAAACTGAACTTTAAAAAAAACTCCTTTGTGATAACTCATTGTTCTCTGTTCACAACTGACAGCCACTGTGATCTTTGTGTATAGTTATGCTCAATTGGATGATTTGCCTCTAGTTTCACATACCTCTCTGCTTTTGGAAATCATGTGATAATAGTTCGAATCCCACTTGCTTTTAATGGCTTACTGATCTGATACACAGATCATAAAATAGGTCAGTCATCAAAGATCAGGAGTTTAAAGCCTCAAATTGATTTTATTTATTTATTTATTTTTGCTTCTGATGTAGGTTCAATCCACAAGGTTTGCTTATTCTCTTGTTCTAGAGCCTGAACAAAGTAACAAACATTTTCCTCCTGCAAGCATAGGTACTGGTGGTATTTTAGAACATTTCTTTGGCTTGTATGGTCTTTGAGCATGAGGCTGCACTGTGTGGGAATATCAACACTGTTCTACAGCCCTTGGATCTGTGTTTAGTGGGTTCTGTAGCAAAACTGAGAGCCATGGTAACTGCACATGTGAAATCTCAGGCTGTTATCAGTTGATGCCCATGTAATTGCTCTGAATCATCCCTCCAGTAATGCTCTGTGCTGACCTTGAGGTGTTCCTGCCAGAAAACACTGTGCTTGGCTCTGGTGAGTGCCCTGCAGATGCGTTGCCTTGTCAGAGGATCACTGAATTGTAGGGGTTTGAATGTCCCAGGATATCCTGCTTCTCTAGTTCTTCACAAGTGATGGGAAGGGGGTCTCAGCTCTGTTTTGCATAGTCTGTGTTCCCTATTCAAAGTCACGTATAATCCATCAGTGGACAGATTCTTCTGTGTACGCAGGAAAAAATAGGGGTGGAGGAGAAGGAAGTTGTAATGGCATTAGCTAGGCTCTGCAAGACCAATGGACTTACTAAATACTTTGGTATCATGAGATTATTACGAGTGACTTAATGTGTTGTCTTTGCCTCTGTTTTACCCTTGTTTGATAGCTGCTACAAATCATTACAAGATGATTTATGGCCATCTCCCAGAAAAGTTCAGCTGGAGCTTGCAATAAAATAACATGGACAATGGCAGATGAAGCAGAATGAATGGTTTGGTTATTCATAAGGCATGTGACCCCTAAAGACAGCAGTAAAAAGCAATAAAGATAGACTCTAAACTGGTGTGAGGCTTCAGGCAAAGCGATTTCTGGGTTCAGCAACAAACAGAACGTTCTAGTTTATAAGCTTTTGAATGCATTTTGGCATCATCCTGCAGAGACCTTTTCTCTGCTGTTGAGACCAGTGCATAAAGTCGTGTTACTTTTAGAAACTGTAATATGTGAATGACTCTTCCACTGTCTATCAGTCCACCTGTGCCACAGTTAACTGAAGGGAAAGGACCCAGTATCACTCACATTTTGTTTGAAGCCTGCTGCTCTTTCCTTGGATCTCCTTGGCATACCAGCTTCCATTGGTGCCCCTTTATGGAGAGGTGTTTGGAAGAAATACATCTTGTACAGCTAAGCTGGAGCTAGTTCTTTGTCTTGTTTTCAGTTTCTGAGCTGGATGCTTTACTATCTACAAAGAAGTGGAAAAAAGATATTTTGTGTAATATTTCTTGAGAAATAAGACTAATTAATTGCAATGCCTTCACTTGCACATGGAGAAAACTGATATTTCAAACAAACCTGAATAGAAAAAAAAGTAGCACATGGCTTATGCATTTCTATACTAACGTTCATCTCAAACATATGGGTGTTACTTGTGTACTGTATTGCATTCATTTGTTGTTTGTTTGGAAGAACGTCTGCATTTCACTTGGTAGGTTGAAAGCAGTACTATTTTTGTACAGTGTTTTGTGAAGTGCTGTACAAATGCCAGAGAAAGATGTCCTAGTTTTAAGGAATCCTTGTAACTTCAAGAGAACTAAATAATAATCTTTATGCCAAGTCATTGTAGTAGCCTCCATTTATCAGCAAGTCTCTGAGAGATGCCATGTGCTCACACACAAGATTGAAGCTACCTCGAGCCCCGGAATTTTTGTCTCTGTTTTTGGTTTATGCAGGTCCATGTCTGATGTGTTTTTTTAGGGGGGGAAAGCTAGAAAATGTGAATTGAATGTAACTAATTCAGATTATTACTTGAGGCATCTAAGATAGTATTTCCCAGGGAGTGTGAACTTCTTATTCATCTATGAAATGTAGCAGATAAAAACTGACAAAACTGCCAGAAATAAACACTCATTGTTCTAAGATGCAGTGAATGGAAATTACTTCAGCTTTAAACTTATAAGCCAAATAAACATAAATAATTTTATAGGTATTTACTGATAAGGGGTAGAGCTCTGTGGATTCACCTTGTTTTCCATATGAAAGCAAATACAGGCATCCATGCCAGAAACCACAATCCAAAACTTTACCTGGTCTTTGTCTGTAGCTGTGTTTAAAATGAGGTAAATGAAGCAGGGAAGATAGCAATCATCAGACAAATTGGTGTCCCACCTTGCTGCTGTTTATGAGAATTCTTTTTTTTTTTGGTGGGTTTTTTTTTTTCAGCAGGGAAGGGGTAAAGGAAATGAGATCTGGGTACACTTCCACTCTTTCCAAGGAGGAATTCAAAAGACTTATTTGAACAGGATCTAAACATCTGCATATTTACGGGTAGCATCTTAATCCTTATTAGAACTGCCCCTGTAACTTAGAGAATCTGGTCTCCTTCCTTTTCCCAACAAAACTCTGCTAAATGGTCCTACCTTATCTGTAATGAATAGCCAACTGTCCAGCTTTCCTGTAAGTATCTTTTTCTGTATCAAAATCTCATTGGTTTTTGCCAAAGTAGGAAATTACAGCACAAGTCAGAAATCAGCCTCTTGTTTATGGTTTCAAAGTGAGAATGAGTTTGAGGTCTGTTATGCTGGTGTAAGTCAAATACAAGTAATGAAGTTTGATTCCCTATGTATTGCTGTGAACCTTGGATTCCAACTCTGTTCCATCATACTGGTAATTATAGAAAAATTGATTTTCCTTAGAGCTTACATTAATATTGGACGTATTTTCATGATAGTAATTTTTCCTTCTACCTAATGCTACATGTAAAACCAATGTTTTATTTAAGGAAATAGAAGAAAAAGAAAACCAACAACTTGTTTTCCCTGTAACTGTGAATTTGTTCATGAAATATCTCTGGGATCTTGTAACTGAACAAAGGAATTGTATGTGCTGAGGTCATTTCACTGGGAAAGTATGTTGATTAGTTTTCTATAAAACGACTTGAACTCATAAATGAGACCAGTCAGTATAAAGAAATACTATTTACTACTTATCTCTGTTCATAAGCACTTTAACTGTACTAATGCAACACACAAAATGCAATATTCATTTGATTCAATGCAGTTGTGTACATTATATTTAATATAGCAGTTGTCATTTTAATTAAAATATTGAGAACTCCATTTAATACTAGTTGAGTAAAATAGAGAAAAGTGTTGTCTGTACTCATAAATCATCCCAGTGTTTTATTTACTCAAAAGAGCAAAATAGGCACTCAGAGCACTGAAGAAGCCACTACAATGCTCACACTAATAACTTTGAGTATACCAACTGATAGTCAACTGTAAATGGTTTTGGCTTTGCAGAAAGACTGTTTTGGAAACTTAAAAATCCTCTCCTACTATTTGAGCTCCTAAATGTAAAACAAACTGATACTTAGTGAAGAAATTTTCAAACCAGCCAATCTAAAACTAGGAGCATCACTTCCATTTGATCTCAAATAAATTGTTGAAATTTACAAGTTAGTAATGCACAACAGTGTGAGAGAGAATTCCATGGCATTTGTTAATGTTTCAGTACTGCTTGTAAGAGAGCTTTTCTAGAATAACCAAAGATTTCTGCTTTAATGCAATACTTAACCTATTTAATGAGCTATTATCCAACATAAAAATAGCAGTTGATCTGCTAACTACTGCAAAAAAATTACTAATTTCACTCAGCTCTGGGTGTTCTTTTGGTTAGTTGAAGCTATATACCTCTCTTCATCATTGGTGTACCTTATAGATTAAGAACTTACACATGCTGTAGAAAGAAAGTTTTGGTTCAGCAAATCTGTTCAGCTCACGCTTAAGTTCACCTCTCTGCTTTAGGGTCTTTGCTTTACATTTATGCACTTTTATGTTCATTCAGGGAACCTTTTCCATAAGAAGAGTCGAGGCATCAGAAGAGGGGCTCCTAGGCTTGGTGGGCAGCCCCAAGTTCCCTGCTGTTTGTTGGGCCTGTGAGGGGTGCATAAGGAAGTAGTGGAACATGCTTACTCTGTTTAGACTTTCCAGGAGGAGCTAAGAAATCCTTTCTGTGTTTAAAAGATAAATTGTAGTAAATGACACAAGACTCTGCCTACTGTGACCTGTTCCAGTGCTTTTGTAGAATTCTATAGCTGATAGCAATAAGGCAGAAAGCAGCAGAAACATCCAGAAACAACCAAATAGTGGAAAACTCAACGCAACAGATAATGCGTGCAATATGCATTGTACACAAAGTTAGACAACACTTGTGGTTCCTAATTTGCAATGCTTGAAGCACTTCAACTTTTAAAAGGCTTGCATGTATATCTCCTAAAATGCTTCTTGTTAGTGCTGGCAAAATGCTCTTCAGCAACTTCAGTGTGATCCTTTCACAAATGAGCACAAACTGATTTGACAGCCCATTTCAAAAGATCTCTGATTATCTGTAGAAGCTGATGTTACAGTTAGTCATGCCTACTTACTAACAATTGGTGTTGATAATGACTATATTGATCCCCTGAGTACCTGCTGAGGAAAAAGAAGCTTCAAGTGGAGTTGCAGAAGTCTTGCAGCATGGTGGCACCTCCTGGCTTAATGTACAGAAGAGGCCCAGCAGGACACATTCTGGGCGGCTCCACAGGAGCCATAGGCCCAACTTCGCCTAGAAGTTATGACTGAGCTTTTTTTGCGATGTTGTTTGCTCATACTATGAAGGCACCTGTGATTTGATGAGTAATTTAGCTGCATTTCACTTTGAGGAGCAGGTAGGTACTTGAGCTGGAAGTGGAGCATCACTTGAGGATGTGACGAATCTTCTCCAGACTCCCTTATGCACAGATGCTACTCTCAGAGAAGGACCTGGAGGTCTTGATAGATGAAA